CTGTGTTCAGAAAATAATGGCAGCTTTGGTACCCGTGAGTTCCGCTAGATTGATGTTATAGTCGAGTAATTGTCTGGCATTTTCTATCACTCGTAAGGTTGGATGTATTAAACCATTGATACAGGAATTTAGAAACTCTGTGCAAATAATATTTGTGTATTAAGTGATTTAGCAAATGGTCAAACCCAATCAGTATAGCCAACATTGAATTGTTATTTAAAACAGGTACATCCTGGGTTTTCTTTACGTTTGTCACCTTAATAAAGTAAGGTAACCAAGTACAAATACTATGTTACTTTTCTTCTAAGATACTTGTACTTGTAGTCGGTTTCAGGTACTTAACCCTTTCAGGGACAGCGGTTACCAGAGTGTAGTCAGGTTACAGGGTGCATGGAAGGGTTAATACAAGACTGGACCTTAACATAAACTGCTCTGATGTTCCAGAATGCATTTTCTTGGCAAAATATATGCCTTTTAATGACATGTAATTTTTTTTATGCATTACTTTGTCTTATTTGTGTCAGTTACTAGTACGTTACTGTAGTTATTACGAGTACGGCATTTAAGACACAAGTTTGATGCCACGTTCAGGTGTTCCCTTCTTTGCGTCTTGTTCCTTTAATAACATAAAGCTGTGTTTTAGCAAAACTTTTTTCAAACGTCGTCTTCAGCGTGTACATTTATTTAGTTAGTTAGTTGAAAAATGCATTATTTCATGGCAGAACATAATATGAGTCCATTTCATTCACATGTATAAGAGCAGATATAATGAATGTTGTTTTTAAACATATTCAGATTACATTTAGAATATAATCCAGTCCAGCATTAGATTTTGCAGTTCTTTTAAAACCGTGCTTGTCAAAATTTTGCTGCAAATGTAAATTTACATTAAGTTTAGCATTGGTTTTTACTACTCTAGAGGACGGGAACAAAAAAAAAAAAACCTTTGAAAGCTTTTCTTAAAGGAACTCAAGATGGGTGCTGAGGTGAACACAACAGGAAGAGGTTGCGGCTTAAATGAGACAAAGATTTGACATGTCCAAAACTGTCCGTCGAAATCTTTGAAACCTATAAAATGAAACATAATTCACAACTTTGAAGCTGACTTTTGTCTTCTCTGCAGAGGCAAGTTACAAGGGCAGGAGGAGTCAGGTCGCCTTTATTGAAATGGAGGTGATGTCATCTTCCTATTTATCTTGAGCTGTCTCTCTTTAGGCCAAGAAGTGAGTGCGTGATGTGTTGGCATGCCTTAGTACGACATTGAGGCCGGCTGATGCAGTTTAAATATGCACAACCACTTTCTGCACACTTGTCTTTGTTATTTTTTTTTTTCCGTACCTTTTGTGTGTATGTACAGCATTCTGTCTTGTCCTCACCTCATTCACGTCCAAGACGAAGTCATTACAGACTGCGTGCTAAAACAAATAGATAACCCAAGAGGTATTTTATTTTTATGGCGCTGTATAAATTCTCAATCAAGGGGCTGTATTTCAATCTCTGACAGCGGAGGGGTAGAAAAATCATCGTCGGTCGCTGTGGGATTTCCAACTGACTTTGTCTCAAACACATGGTAATCTTAATTACGCTCATTAATGTGTTTTTACTTACCATTTACACTCATTAACCTCAATTAGCATCGGAAAGCGGTACAGAAACGCTGCTCACACTTATCGTTCCTCAACATTTGTGTGTGTGCGAGAGTGTGTGTGCACGTGCATACGTATACCATAATCAAGAAATTATTAATGACCATGGTCTGAAGAACAAAAACCCTGTATTGTTAGTGGCACTGTGAATGCACTAGCACTGCTACTGCGGTGACAAACGTTTGTGCCACTTGGATGTTTGGGTTTTTTTTTTTGTCATTACAAGAGGAAATGTGGAATTTTTCAAATTTATTTGAAAAATGTTTTCCGCATTTTCTGCACGATAAGGTGCTTCGGCGTTTAACGCTCGCACACATTCAATAAATGGCCTATTTTAAAACTGTTTCCATATGTAGGGCGCATTGCATTATAAGGTGCCTCAATAGTGGCTGTGGTTACGTTGTGCATCCACTAGATGGAGCTACGCTAAAGGGAATGCAATACAGTACAATACATCTTTCACAACCGCTGTAACAAAGCGCTTTAAAGAACATGTAAAATACTACGTCCAAGACATCAGAATATTGCAGGCTTTAGCATCTTGTGAGAAGACCAACATGGCTACCATGAACTCCTTCAAGCCCTCTTTGAGTCCTCCCCCATTGCTGTGGTGGGTGGTTGTTTAAACTGCTGAGGAAGACATTGGTCCCAGTGGGCCAACAGATAATGAATGACCTCCATCCATTCCGCACAGTGAGAGCAATGGAAAAAAAAGACAGAACAAGGAAAGAATATGCAGTGCTTTCACATGATATCAATTGCATTGTAACTGAACCTCTACCCCCACCTTGCTTTTTTTTTCATTGTTTCGGTTCTATCACCCAACATCCTCCCCGATCACCTCTATTCGTCTTTTATCCAAGCACGCTTTCATAAGAATGAGGCTGAATCTACTGGCCGTCTGCTACACCATCCCCCTGACATATATCCATACAGTATGCAGACTGTGACCTTCATCGACTGAGAGAGGTGGACTTTCATCTTGGATCTGTAAAGTCAAGCCAGTGTGTTTTTTCTTAAAAATACAGATGCTCTGCACAGTGTGCGTGCGTGCGTGCATGCATGCGTGTGTGCATGCGCGTGTGTGTCACGTATGGTACTGACTGCCCACAGAGCAAAAACCAAACAGCTTGATGAAGCAGTAAATTTCACTTCACTTGCCTGTATGTGTCCCCTGACAATCACTTCTTCGCCGAAAATGCGTTTCTGCTCTGTCGTGACCCTCCTTCACACTCGAACGGCTTTGTTGAGTTGAAACAAACGACAACCCAAACGCACACAGTTACTCAACGCAAACGCAGGCCAGCAGTCACGCACAAATGTCAACAACTAAATTAGCACTCAGTAGACCATAACCCCCCCTTCACCAAATAGTACCTCATAGTTTTGGTTTTAAAACAAATAATGTCAAATATACTGCAAATGTAGAAACACACACAACCAAAAAGAATTTATGTGCACACCACAAATTCAAAAGTGTTACATTTCCAGCATTGGTGTTGTATGTTAAAAAGCATCCACACATACCAACACATGAATGGGGGTGGAAGGTGGGTGGAATGTGGGCTCCACCTCATATCGGCCAACTTGACATCAACCCCAACTGGGGCGCTTTAACACTGTTTCCTCATTTGCCTCTTGATGACGCAGCATCAAGAGCAACTGGGGGTTCAGTGTCTTGCTCAAGGACACTTCGACATGGTCACAATGGCCCGGGATCAAACCCCCAACCTCTGGATTGAGAGACGACCACTCTACCACTGAGACTTCTTTGGCTTTTACATTACCTCTCCCACAAAAAAAAAAAAAAATCATAAAATGACAAGGTTCGTGCTTGTGAAAGTATGTGTGCCAGAACCTGAAAGGAGTGAATGAGCAGACAAGTCTGCACTATTTTATTTGTACGGCGGTGGCAAACTGCCAAAGGCTTTAAAAGCAAATAGTGATCATGGGTTCATCATCGATCCATGTGCCACCCTAAAATTAACTGCGTGCCATCTTGCTAACTGAAATACTGAGCACACAACGATGGAAAAAGTCAAGTTATGACCATCACGGAAGATGAAAAAGACATTGACTGAGAAGGACAGCGTAGATGTAGAATACGGGCATGATCGGTGCGTGGCAGGGAACTAAAGAATTTGAGAAGTGAAAAAAGTGAGGGGGGGGGCGGATGAGTGAGGACAGTTGAAAGCTGAAGTTTGCTGACAAGGACATAAAATGAGGCCTCCTCTGAGAGAGCAGCCTGATGAGTGCAACAAATGAGGCGACAGGAGAGAGCAGACGGCTCCGTCACACTGATGCGTGTCCGCCTGTGAGGTCGTATGTCTTTTTAGAAGTGTACAACAAATCCCCCGAGTGGGTGTCACTGATTCTGATACATACACCAAAGGAAAGTATTCCCATAAAAAAGACATAATATCTATATAAGCCACTTTTTCCTAACAATGGTCATGGCAATGTTGGAACTTGACACAGGTAAGCCGGGGTCTGGACTTGAACCCATGACCTCTGCGATGTGAGGCTGTTGTGCTAACCAGTCGACCAATATATCCATCCATTTTCTCATCTGCTTTATCCTCACAAGGGTCGCGGGGCGCGCTGGAGCCTGTCCCAGCCTTCTTCAGGCAGTAGGCGAGGGACAACCTGAATCAGTTGCCAGCCAATCCCAGGGCACACAGAGACAAACAACCATCCACCCTTAAACTCACACCGAGGGACAATTTAGAGTGTTCAATCAGCCTACCAGGCATATTTTTGGAATGTGGGAGGAAACCGGAGTCCCCAGACAAAAATCCACACGGACACGGGCGAACATGCAAACACCACACAGGAAGGCCGGATCCGGGGTCGAACCCACAACCTCTGCACTGAACAAAAGTGCTGTTTCAAAAATGTGATCGTGGTACAGATATTTTCTGCTTATAATATCGACACACGGCACTTTGCTGTGTCAGGTTCTTCTTGAATACTGCTATGATGTCACACCAGGGATGGTGCTACACTGGCGCATCGAGAGAAATGTATGCAGCCCCAGTTAAGCTCTTTCAGCATTTCATTTGATAATCTAAAATATGTTTACAAAGAAAAAAAAATTGCAGCCCCCTATATATCAGTCATGCCCCCCTTTAGCCCTGGGAGAGTAAAAAATCTTGGAGCCGTGCCTGTGCCATACTATATGGGGGACTACTTTCTGCACACACATTAGCAATGGAACCACGAAGCAAATCAGTATTTACTGTACCAAACCAAAACGTAGTAGACATTTGGCTCAAGTAAAGTGATTGAAAACCTCCCGGTGAGTGTCACGCTTTTCAGCAGTTTTCATTCACATATTCGACACATGGTGTTGACCCGCTCTGAAATGCACGGACAACTCTCAACTTTACAACGCACAGACACACACACACACACACACACACACACACACACACACACTTGAACTCATCACTCATGTTACACCAAGCAATGGTGCAGAGCAATTCAGGATCACATCCATTTCAATCTAAAATAATAATCCTTGTGGCTAGAATAAATTATGGAGCCAACTCTCGCTGTGTTAGCACCAAGCTAATGATGCACATCCAGGTTATGTTCTTCATGCTCCAACAGATTAATTTTACTTTGACCAACTTGGTCTTCTGACGTTTAATCAAAAGTACTTGTCTTCATTCGGCGCTTTTAAAAGGCAAGCTGACACAAGATGTTTCGGGCGGTTGGGGTGAAAGGTCAGACCGAGGACACATTTTTTGATTTTTTTTTTTTTTTTACTTTAAAAACTAAGGCAAGTCTGATGCCGCTGTACCCGAGTGCAGAACGCAGGGTTCTACAATTAGCTTTCATGAGAACGACAAAGATGAAACGAGCCAATCAAAAATGGCGTATCGTAAAAATAGCTTGACTGCAGCGGTATAAAGCAAGATCCCACCGGTTGCTGCCAAGCTGTACTGATAAAATATATCATATACAGATCTTGTGTTTTACAATAATAGTCATCGATTCACAGATGAAACTAGCCAATCAAAAATGCCGTATCATATCACAAAAATAGCTTGACTGTAACGGTATAAAGCAAGATCCCACCGGTTGTTGCCAAGCTGTACTGATAAAATATATCAGATACAGATCTTGTGTTTTACAATAATAGTCATCGATTTTTAACATTTCATATGTACGAGTGATTTAAAAAAAACAACTTATTGTCAAATCTTTTCGACAGCATCCACTGTGTTTGTGTTCAAACGGTTTGAGAATGGGAGACATAAAATCAAAAAGACATATATCTAAATATATATCATGAGTGCTAATTGCATTTTTGAACTAGTCCTTTAAGGCGACGGCAAAATTGACATTTGCAGTAAATATTCATGACTATTGAGTTATCTCTTTTTTGGTGTGAAATGCATTTTTTGTTGCTTTTCTTCTTTGAAAACTGATTTTATTTTTTGTGTGCAACATACGCATGGTTCATTGTGTGCACTAAACAAACACATCTATAAATTATGTTTTTATTTTCCGATTTACGAAGGTGAGTGCACGTGTTAAACTTGTGTGGTGCAACAAGGTTAAGAACCACATATTCAAGCTACTTTTGAAAACTGCGATAGGTTGAAGCTCCCTATGATCTTCAACAGCAGGAGAAACGATAGAAAAGGGAAAGATAGAATATCCCGAAAAGAAATTTCAACACCCGCCAAAAAAAATCTGGTCTTTTTTGTGTGATCATGTAAACATGTTTTCTCATAGAATCTATGTTCATTTCAGTTTCAATTCTAAATTGCTCATTAATGTGAATGTGGGGCATGCCGGTACATGGTTATTTTCTCGTTTCCTCTCTGTGCTCTGCGAATGACGAGCATTTCTCCACTGTTGGCTTGTGGGGGGAATGCATTCACCAAGGAATAGAAAAGGTTTGAGAAATCCATTCTTATCTTATATTATGAATGTTTCTGCACCACTGTTAGATTCGCCTTCCAGTCAAACATGTGCTAAGCCTGATGCTGCTCATAATGGAAGACACCTTCAAGCACCTTATAGATCACGCAGTTATAAATACACAAACACAATATTAAGGTAATCAAGGCTCACGTCATTTAAATCTGACATCGGCATAAATGCATTTTGGGTGTTGAAATGAAATTATCCTTCTTCTTATCGATTAGCTGGATGACTCATAATTAAAGCGGATCGGGCCTCGGGGCTACTGCAGTGTGTATGACTGAGTGTGATGAATGCTGAAGCCCCCAACATCAGGATCCCTCCACTCAGCACTATCGCAACCTCCTGTGGAAGCACGGCATGATCACGCAGAATTGTGTGTGTGTGTGTGTGTGTGTGTGTGTGTGTGTGTGTGTGTGTGTGTGTGTGTGTGGGCAACAGAGAACAGAAACCACAAACAGATTTCTATCAGTGAAGACTTGTATTTTCAAGCGTCAGTTGCAGACTTGAGTCAAGTTAGTGTTTCCGCCCAAAAGCAGCGAGGACGTTTCGTTTTCATCCAGCCACACGTTCCAGTAAAAGAAAACAAAATGACGCAGAGAAGAAAACTAAATATTTCAATGTCTTTACATTCACAATTAGTCTGTTTTAAGGGGGCGGTCCTTGGCCATCACTGGCTGGTTCATTTTGTGCACAATTAAAAAAAAAAAAAAACTTCATACTACAATTAATGGTGTTTACTTTTATCAGTTTTTAAGAAATGCATTTTTTTATGTCTTGAATTTGTAAAAAAAAAATCATATTTGTATTTTTCCCTCACGAAGGGTTCGGTGAATGTGCATATGAACTGGTTGCGTTCGGTACCTCAAGGTTAAGAACCACGGTGCTAGTACTTTAATTACAATGAGGGGCAGTACAAGATGACTTGTTGAGCCCTCTTTCTGGAAAAAAAAAAAAAAAAAACCACAAAAAAAACGCAAAATATAAATTAGCTTGCGTGTGGACTCACATTCCAGAAAATGAACTGGTAGCTCACAGACAATTAATGAACCAAAAATAAATTCGACCGACCTGTATGTGTGAGCCCGCCCGTTTTAGTGGTTTCACCATATGGAGAAGAGCGCCCTCTTGTGTTTCATATGAAGAAAAACATTAACCTTGAGAGTATCTGGAAACAGGGCCGCTTTGCTGCGTGCTTTCCATCACTCCTTGATACAACGCTTCCGATTCAAATGATCAGGATCAATATCAGTCTTCTGCAGAGCTTGCTGAGCATTTGAATCAGGTGTGTTGCGGCAAGGAGAGAGAGAAAACATGCAGCTTCAAGGAGTTTGAGAGCTGGTGGAGTCGAGAGAGACATGATCATGTCTCCACGCAGCACGTGATTTATCAAAATATCATTTCATTTCATGTGACATCACTCAACTCTCACGGAAAATGGCCCTATAAAAGGTGCCGGATGTCTGCATCTGCAGACCGGGGCATCTATCACTACCGAGCACAATTGTTTCGTGGAACATGACATCATTCAGCTGGAAAGGAATACTTCAATTTTACATGGCATATTATTGCCGCTGTATAATGCACACAGAGGGTCTTCTTCTCAGAAGGCAATACTGTGCACTCAACTTTGCCCTCCTCCTGAATTGAGAATTGAAACATTGCGGCTGCTTAGTTGCTGATGAGAATGTCAATCACGCAGTAATAATAATAATAATAATAATAATAATAATAATAATAATAATAGAGTGAAATCATTTTAGAAAAATAGGCTTGAAACCACAAACGATTTCTATGAATGGAGCAATAAACTGCTTTCAGACAATTCATTAGCTCGAGATGTCACTTTTGAATGTAACCTAGAGTTTTTAGTAAGATGTACGTATTGAGTCAACATGACACATCGTTATTCTCTGCTGACCATAGGGGTTATTAATGTCCTTCCATACAGTCAGTCATCTGCTTTCTGTCGCTGATACTGTTGACAATGCAGAGCTGGAGGCGATCCCGTTTTACTTAAAAAGGGAAAGGCGGGGTACACCCTGGACCTGGACCTAATCTCCTAACATGCATGTTTTGGGGAATGTGGGAGGATACCAGAGAAAAGCCATACAAGCACGGGGAGAACATGCACTGGTTCAAATGCGTGGAGGCCTCCACACGGAAAGGTCTGAGATTTGAGGTTTTCTTAAAATTGTCTGAGAGGCACTTTGGAGATGAAAGTCATTATGTTTAAAAATTCTGTTTTCCACATATAAATATATTTGTTACTGCTTTTAACTACTGTACATAAAAAAAAAAGTGGGCAAGTAAACTATTAACTGTTCATCAAAAATTTTATAAATTAGGGGTGTGCAGTGCTCCAATATTCAATACATATCTTGATTAGGGTTGTAAGCCTGTAACTAATGGTCCTTTTCATCATTGATTAACGTGTCAAATATCATGTGGATTAATCGACCAATTTTAAATTTCCATCCCTGTATTAAAAAACAGAACATTATTTTAAATTGACAGCGCACTAACATACATTTGTTATGATTTAGTCACTGGTTTCGTCAGAAAATAGGTAAAAATGTTGATCATAGTTTTCCAAAGTAAAAGCAATTGTTTTATTTTGAATCGTCACAAAGATAATCAGTATGCTTTCAGGGACAACTTTAGAAATCGGATCATTACTGCTGAGAATCTGAAATTCTGAGCATTGAGACCATTTTAAATTGAAAAAGATGTCTAAATGCTTCACTCATAAAAACTAATGATTGATT